CGTTCAGTGTTTATTTCTTTGATGTCAGTGGTGAAGTACAGCCCATAGTTTCCTGCCACCATGTCCTCTATCTTCTCCAGCAGCTCTGTGACCTGAGTGCGGTCACCCCTGTTCTTGTTAAGAACATGATACCCGTTCCCACATTTTTCCACCACACACTGGAGCCCCTTTCCTCCTCTTTTAATGAGCTGCTCAATGGTTGTGTCTCTCAGTTTGTGTCCCCAGGTGAATAGCACTATTGTGCGTCTCCGGACTCTCTCACTGAGAAGCTCCAGATGTTCCTCCACTGATCTCCAGTCTGTGTTTGATTCCAGATTAATCACCAGGAGGAAAGCGTGGGGTCCTGGGGGACACAGAGACACAATTTTCACAATTTCCTGTGGATCATTCCTCATCAGCCACACATCCCAGTCTGGAGTGTCGACCACAGTGATCTTCCTCCCAGCTACTTCACACTGTCTCTTCACACACTCCTTAGTTACTCTCTCAGTGTGAAACACCTTTCTGCCCAGGATGGTATTTCCTGCTGAGCTCTTCCCAGACCCTCTCTTCCCCAGCAGGATGATCCTGATCTCTGAGGGACGCTGTGGTGTCTCATGGGAATCAGCCTGTCCATTCCCTGTCAGAGAGAAAGATCACAGATTATTTATCTCACTTACCAGCTTCTTATCACTGATGGCAGTTTGAATCTCTTCTCTCTAGTACAAACTCAATTTTTTGTTAAATTGTATTAATTTGCACGATTAAATATAATGAGTTTGGTTTGAAATAGCGGTTATCAACATTGATTTGAAAAGGCCTCTTTTTCCATTCACAGCACTCCCAATAACACACTGTGTTCAGTAGCAGCAGGAGTTTGCAGAGTCAGGCTGTTCAGACACAGAGCAAATCTGAACCCTGTAGTCAAGACTTTCACACCAGCAGGCAGTGAGGAAACTAGAGAGCAGCTCCTTCAGCCCAGGCTGCTTGTTGGAAGATCAAGAGCTCCATACCTGAGTGAATCTACAATCTCACCCAGCCATGTCTGAAAGGTGCCCAGGGTTTAGGAAAAATCACAAAATCATCTGACCATCCTGCTCGTTTGGTAGCTGTGAATCTAAAATGTCTGAAAGGTTCAGTCTTAAGCACTTGGCAGGGACGTCTTGTTTAGACACCCACCACTCTTTCAGTAAAGAAGTGTTTTCTATTCTGTCCTAAATGTTTCCCACTGAACTCTAATTTCACTGCTGAGTGTGAAACACTCCCCTAGAGCTGTAAAGCACTTTGAGTGGAGTGTCCAGAAAAGTGCTATATAAGTGTAAGAAATTATTATTATTATTATTATTATTATTATTATTATTATTATTATTATTATTATTATTATTATTACAGTGACAGGCCAAAGAAACTGAGTCTCTTTAGTCTGAAAGGAGTGCCCCACACTGACAGGCTGAAGGAACTGAGTCTCTTTAGTCTGAAGGGAGTGTCCCACAATGACAGGCTGGAGGAACGGATTCTCTTTAGTCTGATGGGGGTGTCCCACACTGACATACTACATAGAGAGGGGTGGGAGGAGGGAACATGCTGCCCAGCCATATTGTTGAAGCCAATATCCCGGCTTCTCTCCAGACACAGCTGGAAGAGCTCCTCCAGTCAACACAGGAGAAACAGCTGCATGAGAACCTGGAATCACTACTAATTATGGGCCAAATAAATTCCTCTGTTGTTCATCTGTACTGATTCCTCTCTGGTATTATCAGCTGTACAATAAACACGGCCTCTGAGCATGAACAGGAAACGATCGTGTCTGAGCGTGTCTGAGCATCATGAATACTAACGGTGTGAATCCAATACCATCAGCAAACAGACAGGTTTAACATTAATCATTTTTGGCTTAAATAAACACTTTATTAAAATATTTAGTAAATTTCAAACAGCTTGAACTTGACAGTACCGATCTCCGATCACTGACAGTAGAAAGTGAAAGTAAATCAGCTCCTGTCTCTCCCCTAGTTTAGACCCTGTGTGTTTGACAGACAGAACAAACTCTCAGCAGACAGGAAGAAACTTCCAGCTGTTGCTGTGCTCTGTGACAGAGAAGAGACCCTCAGTGACTCCCTTACTGACACTCTCACAGGTAGAACAAGAGAAAACTCACCAGTGCAGAGTGCTGAGCTCTCAGATGCCATCTCTTTCTCTCTCTCTCTCTCCTTCTCTTCCTGTTGATGTAGGATGGTGGGTTTCCTGTCCTCGCTGTGACACTGCTCTGGTGTCACCTGGTGGATTTATAAAGTTAATTACCAACTGAACAGGTTCTTCAGTAAGACCAAAATAAATCACCAGAACACCCAGGTCAACTCTTACCAACATTCTTGGACACTGGGGTCCACACCCCTACTCTCACACACAGTGTCCTGGGATCTGTACTGACCAGCAGTCAGGACACTGGGGTCCACACCCCTACTCTCACACACAGTGTCCCGGGATCTGTACTGACAAGCACTCAGGACACTGGGGTCCACACCCCTTCTCTCACACACAGTGTCCTGGATCTGTACTGACCAGCAGTTGGGACACTGGGGTCCACACCCCAGGGATGGTGGAGTCTCTTTAAGGTTATTTAGTTTGGCTGGGAGTTGGGCTGTAGAAACAGACTATTAATCCCTAAATTCAGCTCTTCATCCAAATAACCATTACCTGTAAAGAGCTTTGAGTGGAGTGTTCAGAAAAGTGCTATGTAAAAGATTACATACACTCTGCATTCAAGTTCCTACATGTAGAAAAAATCTGGAGAAACAGCCTTATGCCTGTTTAAAATTCTGTGTCAGCAGGCTGCACAGGAAAAAGTAAAGGTTTATTTCAACTGAAAGGGCAAGACTAGAGACACAACATTTTAGCTGTGAGCTTCTTCAGTTGTGAATCTTCAGTACAGATACAGGTTCAGTACAGAGAAGCTCAGTTCAGTTTCTTGTCATCTGCACAAGTGAAATGAGATGCTTATTTGCATGTATGCTCCAATACAAGACATCGAGGAAACACCAAAAACACAGAACAGCAGTAACAACAAGTTAAATAACAACTAGAGAATAAATCACATCAGTGTTGGCAGTACAGTGGGTGAGTGTAGCCAGTGGGAGGGGTAGAGCTCAGTGATCTGAAACCTTGAGGGAAGAAGCTGTCTCTGAGTCTAGACGTTCGTGCCTTTATGCTCCTATAACTCTCACCAGAGGGAAGCATGTAGCATGTAGCATGTAGCATGTAGCTCCAGTTACATGCTGGGACCACGTTAAGTCATTAGCAATGAAGGCACCCAGGAACGTGAAGCTGCTAACCATCTTAACAGCCACCCCACTGATGCTTTCTGAAATCAATGACCAGCTCCTTGGTTTTGCTGACAAAGACAGAGCAGCATGAAGCAGCATGAAGCAGCGACATGAAGCGACTCTAACTTGGCAGCACCTTTCAAAATAAAAGTAACCTAAAAACTGCCGCATGAAATAAAATCCTGGACCAGGTAAAATCTCATTTATAGCACAACAACACTTTGTACATCCTCAGAACTGGGTGGAATGTGATAAAGACCCACAGGTAATAGGGAATTGCCATTTTTTACTCATTTTTTGCTCTCTTGTAATCTTTATGGTGTTTTTATATCTTCCTCCTTGCCACCGCGCTGGGCACTGCTGGACGGGAAAAAAGTCTAATTCCTGACCAAACAGAAATATGTGCCTCTCCAGACGTGGCTCAGATCTACTCTACAGACCCTCAGATAATAGAAAATCACCATGGTTTTGCCAGATAAGTGTCTTTGCTGATGTTGCTGGGGTTTATAAACTACTTCCTGTTCTCAGACTGTGACCGTGCAGTGATGGACAGGGAGTGGTCTCACTCCCCTCCCGACCAAACTCAAATCTGTACTACATCTATATCTGCACTGTACTGTATCTATATCTCCACTGTACTACATCTGTACTGTATCTATATCTATATCTCCACTGTATCTATATCTGTACTGTCGTGTATCTTTCTGTACTATACTGTATGTATATCTGTAATGTATCTATAGCTCCACTGTACTGTACCTGTATCTTTCTGTACTATATGTATATCTGTACTGTATCTATATCTCCACTGTACTACATCTGCACTGTACTGTATCTATATCTCCACTGTACTATATCTGTACTGTACCTGTATCTTTCTGTACTATATCTATATCTGTATCTGTACTGTATCTGTACCCTGAGAAAATCAGATCTGCAGGAAAATATCCTTGGGCACATCAAGAAAAAAGGAAAAGTACAGAACTTTTCCGTACTAATACCTACCTTAATATGCATTAAACGTGGGATATTTTGAAACCCCTCTCCATCCCCACCCCCTTCCCAGATAAGGCAACAGGAATGTTCCTTAGGGTGTCTTCTTTTTTTGATGTTCAAATATGGTAACCCTTATTTTCAGCTGGAATTAACCCATTAATTGTTCCTGACGCATGCTGACACAGCTACCCACCTGAACAATATGAATATTCAGATCACCTCATCAACAAGATCAACAAGAGCTGTTCAGCTGGTGAAGTTTCCTCCTGTCTGCTGAGAGTTTGTTGTGTCTGTCAAACACACAGGGTCTGAACTAGGAGAGAGACAGGAGCTGATTTACTTTCACTTTCTCCTGTCAAGAGATCAGTACTGTCAAACCTGAACTGTTTGGTATTCTCTGAATATAGTGCTGGATTTCCAAAACAAGTGTATTGAAGGTACAAAAAATTAGTTGGTGTTGAACCTGAATGTTCGCACAAATCTTAAAGACAGCAGTGAATGTGATCAGACATGGCTGTTTCTTGTATGAAACCAGAGCAGCAGAGAGTCACACAGAATATAAAAAGAGTCACAGATGAGACTTGTCTAGTTGGTAGTTAGTCACTCACTGATACAGGTCAGTTTTTCAGACTTGAGAAGTATCATCACTGCAGAATGAAAAAGAAAGGATTAAATATTTATTTTAATTTTGTAGTCCTGGGTATGGGTAAATAAAGTAGTTGTGATTCATATGATTATTATTTAGCCTTAAACTAGAAACTGCAGTTGTTCCAGTCTCATGCCTCGCAATATTTCCTAATCTAAGGGCAAGAGCCTTTGCCGTTATCTTATAATCAGAGTTTAATAAACTAATGGGTCTGTACAATGCACAGTCCTGTGGATCTGTAACTGATTTTCAAAAGCAAACAGAGGATGTATTCCAAGTCTCAGGAATTAAGCCTTGATGTTTTGGAATACAGGTAACCTGTAAAACTCTGGGTGATCTCCAGGGTAGTTATTTAATAAAACTGCCTCCAAAACCTCTTCAGGAGTAAAATATCCCCAGAGATGGTGTAGGTTGAATGCTATATGTCCCACAGTGTTTTGTGACTCAGAAAGTGACTGTAATCTGTTTTTGATCAGACTGACAGACTTAATGTTTCATTTATTTTGAGTATATAGTTTATTATCAAATTTGGAGTGATTTCTCTGCTTAGAGAAAAACAAAAGGTCTGAATTTTTCTAAATTCATTTTTTTATTGCTGTACATTATGAGGAGGTGGTTCTCCAGCCTTCTTACAGTGGTGCTAGAAAGTTTGTGAACCCGTTAGACTTTTCTGAATTTCTGCTTAAATTTGACCTACTATAAAATGTGATCAGATCTTCATCCAAGTCCTAAAATTAACGAGAACCCAATAAAACAAATAACACACTAAAGGATATACTTTTAATTCATTAATTGATCAAAATGAGCCAACATTAAATATGAAGATCTGATCACATTTTAGGTCACATTTATGCAGATATTCAGAAAATTCTAAACTTTCTAGCACCACTGTATACTCCAATGGTCTTTACCTTATGATTTTCAATTTAAAGTTAATGATTTAAAAAGTTTACACCTGGCTAGTGTCAACATTTCCTTTTCTTGGGTGCTTCAAAGAAAGAAGATTGTGAAGATTGTGTCTCTGTGTCCCCCAGGACCCCACACTCTTCTTCTGGTTATTGATCTGGACTCAAACACAGACTGGAGATCAGTAAAGAAACATCTGGATTTTCTCAGTGAGAGAGTGTGGAGACACACAATAGTGCTGTTCACCTGGGGGGACACAATGGGAGACACAACCATTGAGCAGCTCATTGAGAGAGGAGGGAAGGAGCTCCAGTGTCTGGTAGAGAAGTGTGGGAACAGGTATCATGTTCTCAACGACAAGAACAGGGACGACCGCACTCAGGTCACAGAGCTGCTGGAGAAGATAGAGGACATGGTGGCAGGAAACTATGGGCTGTACTTCACCACTGACATTGACCAAGTATACACTGAACTGGACAAATACATCAGACAGAGGGAGGAGGACAGACAGAGAGAGACAGAGGAGCTCAGACAGAGGGAGGAGGAGAGACAGAAGAGCTGAGACAGAGAGAGGAGGAGAGACAGAGAGAGACAGAGGAGCTGAGACAGAAGTATGAAAGAAGGGAGAGAGAGAGAAGTTGAGCTCAGAAAGAGGTTGGAGGAGGACTGGAGCAGGAGAGAAGAGGAGCTGAAGGAGAAGATGAGAAAGACACTGAAGGAAGAGGAGCTGGAGAAAGAGACAGAGGAGCCCAGACTGCCTGAGAAGAGGAGGAACAGTGTGGAGTTCATCCCACCTGCCAGTGAGTGTGATTGATGCTGTATTATTGAGTCACTGATCTTACTGGTCATCAAACTCAGGGATTCAAACATCTTGGGTCCTATTAGGAATTAAAATAATAATGTGCTCACTCCTGTACTGTATTAATAACACACTGATATCTACAAACTTAAACAGTCCACTGTGCTGTAATTGACCTGTTTTCTATCAGTGTGATTAAATTTAAACCATCACAGAGCAGTTCAGTCCCACCAACAACCTCTCTGACCAACAGTGTCAAAGGCAGCTCTGAAGTCCAGGAAAGGATGAAAGAGCCCATCAGCAGATCATTAGAAACCCTAACAAGAGCTGTTTCTGTACATCAGTCTAAAAGACTCATCACAGCTTGTCTGCAGATCATTGAGTCTGTGAGTGAACAGCAGCAGCCTGTTGTAGAATCTGTGTCAAACAGGGTGAGATGGAGAATTACTGAACAGCCTGGAGTCTGAATTCTGCTTTTTTAACAAAGTGGTCAAGACTGCAGGTTTCAGGGTTGAAGGGACAGTTCCTGACCGAGAGACACCGACAATGAGGAAGAGAATAACTGCAGCTCAGCCCAGCAGTGGGGATATGGTACCAGGAACATGAGGTTGAGTTTATTCCACTGACAAGTGCTGAGAAGCATTAAGCCTGTTTCTCTCTTATCATCCTCTGAAGTAAAAACACAGTGGACTCTGACTCTGGTTGTGGTCAGTTTCAGAGTGAAATACCTGAAGGATAATTGTCTGTGGAGAGGTTGGTTTCCTCTCATGTGTAACCTCCCTGATGCCCCTGTCTATCCTTCTGTTGCCGTGAGTGAAGGAGACCCTACAGTCGAACCCAGACTCCAGCCCCACCCCTCTGAGCTGAGACTGGTGCTGCTGGGCAGGACTGGTGCTGGGAAGAGCGCAGCAGGAAACACCATCCTGGGCTCAGAGGAGTTTCCCTCTGAAGCCAGCAGCTCCGCGGTCACTCAGGAGAGCCGGAGGAGGACAGAACAAATGTCCGGGAGACGGGTGACTGTGGTGGACACTCCAAACTGGCTCCACACTGGACTGTCTGAGGGGGATAGGATACGGGATGTGGGGCTCTGTGTTAACCTGTCTGCCCCTGGACCCCACGCCTTCCTCCTGGTGACCCCGCTAGGCTGATCCACAGGGGAGGAGGACACTGGAGACAGTCCTGGAGATATTCTGAGAGAGGGCCCTGGGACATACCCTGGTCCTGTTCACCCACGCTGATGAGCTGACCAGCAGGAAGCTGGAGGAGTCTGTGCACACAGGCAGCAGGGAGCTCCAGTGACTGCTGGAGAAGTGTGGGAACAGGTATCACGCCCTCAACAACAAGGACAGGGGCGGCACTCAGGTCACAGAGCTGCTGGTGAAGGTAGAGGAGCTGGTGGCAGGAAACAAGGGCAGCTACTACAGCAGTGAGATATACTAGGAGGCCGAGTCCCAGATCAGACAGAGACAACTGCAGATCCTGAGGGAGAGAGAGTAGAGGAAACAGAGGGAGGAGGAGAGACTGAGAGAGAAGCATCAGAAGGAGCTGCAGAACCACCTCCGCAGGATGGAGGAGGAGATCCAGATACAAGAGGAGAAGATCAGAGCGCTGGAGGAGCAGATAGCAGAGCTGGAGGAGAGGCTGAGGGAGGAGAGGGATGAGGGGAGGAGGAGAGAGCTGGAGGAGGAGCTGAGGAGAGAGAGAGGGGAGAGAGAGAGGCTGCAGAGAGAGATGGAGGAACTGAGAGAGGAGCAGGAGAGGGAGAGGAGAGAGAGAGGGGAGACACACAGGAAGGATAGTAGCAGATTAAGGTTTAGAGTGTACCTAATAAAGTGACCACACAGTGATCACTCAGAAGGGAGGCTCCGAGTCTCACAATAGTTCAGAAATGGTTGCCAAGCTTTAGAAACGTGATGGAGGAGCTGCTGGGTGTTCATCTAATTTTCTCCAACTTCAGAAAATGCCTCCTATATCTGATTTATTGATTGAGTGTGGGCAGCTTCAGGTTGAAGAGGAGAAGACGTCGTGACAGGAGAGTTCAGACACCAGGCTGTCAGGCTGGACTCTGACAGGGGTCCTGCCTGCTGCCCAGAGCACAAGCATTCGAGGTTATAAAAAGTGTCTCAATGTGTCTGCAAGGGCTGGAAAGGTCCCATTTCTGACCTGTGTTTCACAAGGAGGTTCAGGAGCACCTCTGATGCTAGTCTCTGAAGTCCACACTGGCGCTGACTCCGCTGAAGGGAATCACCCCACTTCCCTGCAGATCGGTGACGTTTCATGTTCCAGCCTGTCCAAGTGGAGAGAAGCTGGAACTGTGTCCGTGGAAAGATTGTATTTCATACATTTAACAGTACTAAGCTGAGGTATTGCAAAGTTGACCTTATTTACTTTGTCCACTCTGCAGTAACAGCAGTGAGCTGTAACTAGAGAGTGACGTCATGCGTGACCCTTTTTATAACAGTGCACCTCGATTCCTCGTGTTACCCCAAGCAGAGTAACAGACGAGCGACATCACGCCAGGGCTGGGCAGTACCCTTTTCATCCTGATAAATAATACTAATAATAAACTTTATTTTATATACAGTAGTGCTTTTAATGGTGGCTTCTCAAAGCACTTTACAGAATGACAACAACAATGAATAAAAATAATACACAAGATAAAACACAATTACAGTACACAGAGGAGACCCTGGATGGTGGTACTAAGTATAGTAGGAGCAGAGGGGTGAACCAGTTCAGTAAAGTAAAATAATCCACAGAAGGACAGACTGTTGCTGTATTGCTGTGGCCCTCCCTCCTGATTGGTAATCACCGTTTGCCAGTGACTTCTCACATGCTGTGTTCAGAGCGTCATACAGTAGAGTACTATTTTGACAGTCTGTTCCATTGTATCTCACACCTCAGTGTCAGAATTGTGAAAAGTTTTTAGAACCAGGGGGTAGGTTCATAGCAATAAGCAGAAAGTGCAATCACCCTTTGCTCATCCTTGGTTAACAATATATTCTCAAATGTCATGTTCTAAATTTCCCCTCTAATACTGCAAGTTTAAAATGTCTTGGAAAATGCAATAATCATGAGACTTTTAATGATCAGAAGGCAAGGTCATGGTAAATATGCAGAAAGTTCCAGTGAATTCACGTTTTGCCTTTGTCTTATTTACTTGTTGTCTAACATGCCAGTTTGTGTTATTGGGAGTTTGAAAATTGATTTTCTGAAATGTGTTTCATACAAAAATGCTATTTGGACAGTCACTATTTAATTATATATTACGCTTTAATGAGGATATGTACAGTAATCCATCCGGATAAGTATTTTTAAAAATGACTGGAGAGAGCCATCTACAGGCGAAAGGCGACATCACAGCAGCACCATGCGAATAAGAAGCCAACTTCAGCCTCATCTTCTGTCGACAGGAGTGTGGAAACAGATGGGTCACCGACACGGGTCAGAAATTGTTATTATTAGACGAGCAGGTCAGGGTAGTAACGGGAAGTTCGGTTTGTCCGGTTTCCATGACAACGGGCCCGGTGACATAACTCAGTAATTGTTTACTTGGTGACAGTCCAGCGGCTCCAATCTGGTTCATTCCACCCGACAGCAGGTTTGACGTGTACATTTCGTGTCGGTTAGCGATTCGAGTGGGTTCTCTCTGCCAGAGAACAGAAGCACAAGAGTTGGCATTAAAGTGCCAGGTCGTGTCTCTGTGCCAGGAGGATCAGCTGGGGGTGAGTGTTGATGTACCGGAGCCCTCTGCTTGTGAGGAGCTGACAGGAATTGATCAGTGAAGCTTTTAAGTTTTCAAGTTTGCATGTTTGAGGTTGCGTTGTACTTTTGGGATGAAAAGGCTGTACTTACAGAGGTGTTACTGAGTCTGAAATGAGACACATCACACCAAGGTATAAAAAAAACAACAATTACTGAGTTATGTCATAATTATTAGATAGCAAAGATCATATGTGTGTATGAACAACCTGTTCCATACACACTGTACAGTATGTCCATCATGATTATCTGTCTTTCAGTCTGATTCCAGGATGCACTCGCTCTTGTCTGAGGATACTCAACGTGAGAGTGTCCTCATGGTTAAAAATGTGTTCACATGAGGTCCAGGGGAAGTAGATCTGTGTGTATTTTGCAGTTTAGCTTATCGTCAGGAACACTAAACCTGCAGCTCCAGCACAACTATCGGGAGCTCGTAGATGCTGTCTATGCGCAGTGTAACAGGTTGTTCAAACACACATACACACATATGATTGTTGCTATCTCATAATTTCGAGATGATCTGTTATAATCTTGTAATAATGAGATCATCTGTTAACAAGATAATCTGTTATCTTGTAATAATGAGGTAATCTGTTAAATATTCTGTTATCTCGTAATAATGAGGATGTCTATTAACAAAATAATCTGTTATCTCTTAATAATAATAATGTTGCTTTATTGGCCACATACCATTTCTTGCATTAGGAATTTGTCTTTTTGCATACCCCAGCTTGCTCTCCATGAGACCAACAGGAAGAGAAGCTTGGGGTCAGAATGCAGGGTCAGCCATTGTACAGCACTCCTGGAGGTGGGGTTAACAGCCTTGCTCAGGGGCCCAATGGAGTAGGATTCCTCTGCCAGCTGTGGGATTTGAACCAGTAGCCTTCCAGGTCACAGGCACAGCCACAGAGCCACCGCTCCACCCTATAATAATGAGAATTTGGTGTCTAGTAATTATGAAATAACTCAGGTTTTTTCCCTTGATGGCAGCAATGTGCTTTTGTAGGGCAGTGATGACTCTGAGATTGTTTTTGGAATAACAGGACAAGGCAATAAAATTAACATTGTGTTTGTTTTATCCAAAAAAATCCCCACTGACTAAGAACTCCAAATATAAGTCAAGGAGTGATTAGTGTATAGTTCAATACCATTTCCAAAGTATAGAAAATAAAGAAAAAACTTAGGTCTACATCTCATTGTTTTCCCTCTGTATATTACCGCGGTACAAAAAGGCAAAAAGATACACATGCTCACACTGTGGCATCTCTGGCTCTGGCAGTGTGTTTGGAGAAACGGGCATAGCAGACACAGTATTCTCACACTGGACACAGCTGTAATGCCGATATTTCCCCTGACCTTAGTAAGTGGGCACCTGGGAATTCTTTGTGAGCAGCAAGATGCATGTCTCTGTAGAAGAAACCAGTTAATCATCTTAGTAAAGTATAGTATTTATTCTTTGTAGGCATTCTTTTCTATAAGAAATACAGGTAATCCTCGATTTACGACCACTCACACTTGCAACGGCCGTCCCCTTAATCATACTGCTTTCTATAGTGAAGAGAAAAGGCAAACTGTGCAGTCTAAATTGGACTTCTTTTGAAGAAGCCCAGCACTGCTGTCTACTCACCCCCTGAAGGTGATCCGACTCCTGAAGAACGATGTTGATGATCCAGCCTCACAAGCCCCCTCTTCTGCTTTATCCAATGTGATTTATAAGCTTAATTAAGAAATCACCAGTGTGATTCAGCTGACTACAGTAACAGTAAGTGCAAAACAGCACTTTTTTATTCATTTGTCATTATTGATTACTTTTAGTGTATTGCATTCGATAATATCTACATGGTATGATTTTACCATGAGCAAGGAGTAAAACTAGTGAAAAAATGTAACAAGCCGTATTCTGCAATGTAGCATTTATGCATGTTAATTCTTTACACATCCGTAAGGTTCGTGTAGTATCGTGGTACACGTGATCGTGATTTTCAATTTAGGATGAAATCAACTTATGACGGGATTGTCAGAACCTATCCTCGCTGTAAGTCGAGGACGACCTCTATGATAGTATTGTATTTTTATCTGTTTTCTAAATGTTTCCAATTCAGACACAAACACATTCACACCAGGGCCAATAAAGAGCAAAGACAGTACTTTTTTTATTGTCAGTTAATGTTTACAGTTCTCCGCTCATTACTATCTCAGCTAATAATGAAGCTCCAGCTTTAGCATTTAGCAGATGACTCATGTTGTGCGTAAACTCATTTCAGACTGCGTCTGTTTTTTTTAAAAGTGAAAGTCTATGTACTTTGGCCAGGATAGGGAGTTTCAGTGGTCTGGATCCGTAATGTGGCTGGACTAGAAGTGAAGAGTATGATTCATGTTTAAATTTATGTTTCTCCCTTCTCACACTGCAGAAGGGCAGTTGTAGCACAGCTATGCTGTTGGATTAATCTTGTGTAATATATTCTTTTGTCACAAAAACAAACAGTTTTGCAATGAAGAAAACAATGTGGAGGCACAAGAGAAGACTGCTTCTTCAGTCGAGACGCCAGGTCTTTGCTCATGTTTATCAGTTCTGCTTCGTATTCTGATTTCTTCCTGTCCAGCTCTGATTGACATTTCTTTATTCTGATCAGTTCATTGCTCTGCTTTTGGGTTTCTTCAATGAGCTCATTCCTCAGGTTCTCAAATCTTTTATCAACATTCACCTTCCAATTAATCAAGATCTCCTGGTATTTTTCCTTTTTAAAATATTTCTCTATTTCAGCTGTCAGAGTGCTGTAGACGTCATCAAATTCTCTCATCAGATCTGATGATGTCACAGCCTGAACTTTATTATTGTTAATTCTGTTGCTCAGTCTATTCTGTATCTCCAGGGCTCGTTTCCTAATCTTCCACGACCACTCACCGTACTTCTCCTCCAGTTTACTGTAAACCAACATTTCCAGGGTGTTTCTGAAGCTGAAGACAAAGTCCTCCGCCAGCAGTGCGTTCCAGAGATCTTTGATCCGTCATTTAAACTCTGACAGTGAAGGAAACTTCACTTCTGGCTGCCACTGAGCGACACTGAGGAGCTTCATCTTCAGCTCCTGGACGTTCTGGCTGTAGGAGGGGTTGGGAGGAGCCATCGGAGGGTCTCCTTCCAGAAGGTTCTTGAAGTAGAAAACCTGTGATTCCACATCAAACTGGATTATATCACTGAAGCCAGTAACTTCACAGTTTTCCTCCCTGGCAGCAATGCAAGCCATTTCATCCAGTTTCTCCTGGAGACGCCTCCTTCCCTCCATATTCTTGTTGTTTGCTGAAGCCTCTGCAACATTCTGGTGCACAAAAATACAGCTCGGTTTGATCTGAACAGACTTCATTCTCAGGAACGCCTGGACACAGATCTGGAGAATGTCCTGCATTTCAGATGGATTCTCTCCCATGATGTTGATCATAGTCATGTCACCAATCCTGATAATAACAGTTGCTAATTCATTGTCATGACTCAGTGAGGCTTTATTACTGAGCTCTGGTGACTGAAGCCCCTCTGTGTCCACCACCAGGACAAATTCATACTGCAGCTGGGCTCTGACCTCCTCACTCACTCTCACTAACTGCATGAATGCTCCCCTGGTGCACCTGCCTGCACTAACTGTGAACTGCAGCCCGAACATCGTGTTCAGCAGAATGGACTTTCCTGAGCTCTGGATTCCAAGGACAGAGAGGACAAACACCTTTCTTTCTCCAAGTCTCAGTGAACTTGTCCAGGACGGCCTCAATCCACACCAGAGGCACATGGGCAGCATCTCCGTCCATCAGCTCCAGGGGATGTCCTGACATCAGCATCTCCGCTCCAACAGCAGGAAGGACTCTGACAAACTGTCTGTACTCTTCTAGACCATCTCCTTCTGATTGAAAAGTCTCGTACAGCTGAGCAGTTTCTCTCATGAGGTGTTGAAGTCCGAGAGTAGCAGCACTAATCTGTTCAGATATTGTGTTCAGATCCTTCTGCAGTTTCATTTCCAGCTCCTTATCCTTACTCTTGTCTTTCAGTCTCAGTGTTGTCCACATGGAGTAGTATTTCTCCTGAAGTTCACTCAGCGTGTCTGCAGTCAGTTCATCTAGATACATTCCCAGCCAGTGCAGCATGAACAGCTTGGTGTCGTGTGGATCTGCAGAAGTTAAACACTCCAGGAAGGATCTCATGAAGTTATTGAGAGGGAAAGCTCTCTTCAGATGCTCACGACGGAGGGCTCTTTTCTCAGCTCTGATCTCGCTCAGCTGCTGTTCAATACTTTTATTCACTTTGCTGTTCAGACGATACTGTTCTTTGTCCTTCATGCACCACTGGTGCCACAGCTCCCCCTGCAGAGGCAACAGATTCTTTAGGCTCAATAACTCACCTTCTTTCAACAGTTCCAACAACATCTGGGCATTTTCCTTCCCTTCTGTACAAATTGCACTGTCTTCATCCACCCTGAAGTGCTGTTGTCTTGCTGCCTGTAAGTATGTCTGCAGGCTGGAGGTCTTGTTCACAGTGGAGACGCAGTGTTTGATGTTTGATATTATTCAGCAGTGCTTCTCCCCTGTTCTTGGCTGCCAGTCTCACCATGGTTGGATTGTTTCCTTGTGGGACTTTACTCTGTCCAGCAAACAGAGAGATCAGGGGGACAGGAGATTTGACAAGAGCCTCAGTTGTCTTCTTCTCCTCTCCCTCCAGTGGAGACTCTGAGATCAGAAGCACGTTGACAGTGCTGACCTCCTGGAGAAACTGCAGCTGCTCTGGGTGTTTGCTGGCGTCGCCGTGGAGGTTCAGGTAAGCCACACAGCTGTCGAACACGTCGTCCTTCCTGCCTCCTGGGCAGTACCAGGCGACCTCCACCACCCTGTCCATGAGCAGGCGGTGTGGGGAGCTGCCCCTGCAGTGCCAGTGGAAAAACATACTGTGTCTCTTGGGGCTGACGACGCTGTTCAGGATCTGGGATTTGGAGACGGAGGATGATCCCAGCCTGATGAAGGACACAGTTGGCACTGGAGTGTTGAACATGTCCCTGCAGTTGTGTTTCACGGAGCTGCCTCTCTCAGAGGGCTCCTTACTGCACCAGGACCTCTTGACCTGCCTCAGAGCCCACAGAGGGAGCTCCACTGCCCCAGTCTCAGGGCTGGGCACCAGGAACGGTAAGGCAAACTGACAGGTGGAGAGCTTGGTGAAGAGGAATGCTCTCAAGAAGTTATCAGAGCAGTGGAACACAGCCATGTGGACGTCCAGGGGGTGAATATGTGATTCTTGATAAATGTCCGTTCTGTAAGACTCTTCAGAAGTGCTATCGCAGGTAGTGGAACTCTGGAGTCCAAGAGTGAAAAAGTCATCACTGCCTGTTGTGTCATCAGTTGACTTCTCTCTCATCAGACAACTGCCAGCAGAGTCAATATTGTGATCTTTAAGGAACAAGGTCCTATAACTGTAGTCCAACATCATGAGCTTGTATAGATAGTGAAGATATAGCTCTTTCTCCATATGAGGTTGGGTGACACTGGATGACAAACTGTTGATAACGAGCACATCAGTTATGATATGAATCCCTGAGCCCAAGTTTCTGTAGCAAGTTCAGAAAAGCATCTGTTTCATTTTTCACTGCCTCACTGAAATGTTCTTCCAATGTGTTTGGGTGACGGTCATTCTGTACAGAGGACTCTGTCAGAGAACCACTGTGGCTGTGACCTGAGAAAACGATTCCTACTGGTTGTGTTAGGTTCTTCAGCTCTGTGCACATTTCTTCTGCTGTGATACTTGTCTTTTCCTTCTCAAGTACAGACGTTAGTTCTTGCTGAAGTCTCTCCCAGTCCTGATGTTCATCTGCAGAACTCATTGCTGAGGAAACATCAGGAGCCATTTTGTCCCTAAGCTGTGATTTCAGAAACTACAGTCGCTTTCCCTTGTCCTGTGAGGAGACTGGCTGTTCGTCTCTGGATACAGTCAGAGCCGTCAGCACTAAGTAGGCCTGAGCTCTTGTAGGGTCTTGTTCTTTCAGAGAGCAGTACTTGTCATAAGCTTTCTGCAGCTCATTCTCTAAAAAGTCAATGTCTTTCCAGCTCAGAAGATGACTGAAAGTTTTGCTCTTTGAGTTGTATGCTAGAGGAGTGATGATAGAAAGTACCAGCAGCTCTGCTTCTTCCATGTTGTTATGTGTTAAAGTCTGTCGCAGGGAGTTCAGGGAGAAGGATATGGTAGAGGTGGCTTTAATCTTGGCCTCACGCAAGTTTAGAGAGTCACTGAGTGAGAATATAGAATCTTGTAGTTTGTCTTTAGTTCTCTTCAGGATTTCTGCCAGTTCAGAAAACTCAGAAACGGAAATACCTCTGTGCAGTTCCTCCTCGGTGTGGTAGGCCCACTCCACGATCTCAGCTCTGTGAGGGAAGTTCTTCACAGTGAACAGGTGAGGCTCCATGACAGAGCGCATCATCATTTTCAGATTTACGGCTTCCTCATGTTTGTGCTTTTTAACAACTTTCAATAAAACATCTTGCAGGACCCTGTTAGAGAGACAGGTCTGAAACCAGATTCTGTGAGACTCTGTTGTTTCTCTCACTTAACTCTTGAACTGCAGCAGCTCAGTCAGAACCTGTTCACTGTTGGACACAGTCCAGTTCTTCACTGTCTGAATCAGCTCCTCAGCCTCTCTCTGTGCCGAGAGCTCACTCTCTCCTGACATCAGGTCTGCGTCCTGCCCTGTAATCCTTCTGTAGGCCTCCAGCAGGCTGCTGCTCAGTCTGAAAGGGTCTGTGAAGTCTTGAGTGTGAGCAGACAGGATGATGTCCCACACAGGAATCAGCCTGGTTCCTCTGTCTATCACCTGCCAGGTCCTGTTACTGCTGACCAGAGCACACTGTAATGAACAGTTCTTTCCGGACCCTATGCGGATGACACAGTCCGACGGAGTGGGGAAACACTAGGGAAACGTCATGCAGGAAAACAGGGCTGAAGACAAGGGGGCGTGTCCAAGGTGCGCTGGTGTACGGGGGAGGTGTGGCCGAGGCGAACAATCCAAGAGTAGTCCTTAGGGAAAATCCAAAAACACACGAGAAAGTCCAAAACCAGGAGATCCATCAGAACAAAGAATTAAAAACCACGAAGGCTGGGACGGGAACGGGAACGGGAACGGGAACCGAGGTTAAAACCTTAACGGGACCAGGCGCTGCCAGGTCCCGGACTCGAACGATATGGAAATCAGATGCAGAGCCCGGATGACCGTCAGCGCCTGGCTTTTAAGGTGGGCTGGGAATAGGGAACAGGTGCAGAGAATAAAGTCTTAAGTAAAAGGGCTGGAGCACCCTTTAGGAGGGGGACTAATATCGTGACACACACTTCCACTGCAGCTGATTGTGAGTTTCAGCAAGACCTCCAATTTTAGAGACAGAGAGATTCACCCTGCTCAGCTGGGTTTCACTGTAGTTCTGTCAGGCTGTTCATCTCTGTGACTTTACTGCTGCTGAACCCCTCAGCAGAGGCCTTCCACCAGAACACCCCACCAAAGTAAAGAGGACCCTGGTTAGCATGGGAACCAAATCTCTTGAAAAACGCGCCGACTCTGTCCATTAACTCAGAGGTCATGTCACTCTCATCACTGTTGATCAGCACTGCTTCTATATCTCTGAGGTCTGTCATGGCAGCACTTGACAGCTTCAGTTTGTCCTTCTGAATAAAGCTGGATGCCAGTGGGACATAATTGTACATCATTTTCCACACGCAGGACTCTTCAGAGGAGGATCTGTGTGATTTCTCCTGTTCTGTTGAGAAGGATAGTTCTGTTGTGTTTTCAACAGAGAAGATCTTTACTCCAGCCGTTGAGTAGCTGAAAGTGTAGCCGAGCACTTCCACAACCTTCTGAAAGAGGGCCAGCAATGTACAGGAGGAAAACTCCTCCTTCTTGTAGAGTGAGCTGTGCTGGGCTCCACTCAGTGAGAAGCCCTCAGGAACCTCAATGAGCTGCTCTCTCTTCTCCAGCAAGTCCTCCAGAGCCCCAGTGCAGTAGACTCCCTGCAGAACCAAGCCTTCAGACGCACTTCTTAACACCTCCTCATCAGGAATATTCCCAGGGCAAGACAGGGAGGAGTCTTTCAGAAGATTGAGCTGTTGGTGCAGATTTATCACCAGCTCCTCAAGAGGCTATGCAGCAGGTACCCAGCACTTCTGAGGAATGTCAAGGGCCGAACGAATCTTGTCTTCCAGTTCTCTCACCTCAGCACTGTTCCGGTCTTTGCCTCCCTTGTGCAGTTTCTTAAGCTCCGTAAGGTCCTGTCTCACCTGGTCTATTCTATTCTTGAAAGATTCCTCTAGGTTTTCTATCTTGACCTTGTGTATCTAAAAAGAAGAAAAGAAAAGAAGAAGTTAAATTGAATGGCCACTGGATCATCTTCTTTCCATTCAGGATACACTCTAAACATAATGAAGTGTAGAGGGAAATGACAAGGAGAGTGAAGAACTGAGCAAACCTGATCTACTATTCCCCTCACCTCAATAGCATTTCGGTCTATGTCTTCCATGTGATGTTTTTCCTGCTCTGCTCCCTTCATCACAGACCCCTGCTTCTCCACCCGTTTCATCTTGAAACCCAATAACTCCTGCAGAGCAGCTCTTTCCCAGTCATGTCTTCTGTGCTTTTCTAGTTTTTCATAGTCCTGGTCTCCTACATACTGCAGTGCACGCTGACCATTCAGGACATCTTTAAATATCTGGGACCAATAAACTCCGGCCAGACCAGCATTCTCAAGCTCTGCAGGGAGATCTTGGTCATCTGCTCTCTTGGCCATTTTTTTCTGGCTTCCCTGTTGGATGAAAAGACGATAAACTACATAAGCCTCACTAGTGAAGGATGAACTGGAATTCAACTTTAGAATTATCTGAAAACATCTAAGCACTAATTCACTCTTCAGTTACAGGAACAATACAGGGACCAACATCAACTTTACTTCACTCTGAACCATGAGGCATTCTGTGGTGTGGATGACCACACAAGTCTCAGCAGTGAAGATGTATCATCTTGCAAAAATAACAATAATATTTCCTTACAGTTCTATAGCTCTTTTCTGGACACTCCACTCAGAGCTCTTTTTACAGGTAATGGGAATCCCACTACCACCACCAGTGTGCAGGCCCACCTGGATGATGCTCCAGTCTTCTCCCCACACACCAGCTCTCAGTGGGGAAGAGATGAAGCCAATAATGTCACGCCCTCTGCAGCCAGAGGGCGCTCCTTCTCTGTCCTGTCCCTAGTTTCCTGCCTGCTGTCCTTCCGGTCCCTCTCTTTCCCTTGGGCTATATATTTCTGGGTATTGTACTCTGCCCTCGCTCAGCATTGACGTTTGGATGTCCTGAGACCCGCCTAGAACCAGGTCGCCCCATGTCCGCTACCTGAGGGCATAGGTTTCTATACGGTGCTCCTGAGCTCTTTGCACTATCGAGCCCGGGCCTTTTTCCCGTTCCGCCGCTATGCATAAGGGTTTTTTTTTCCGCTCTCCTGCTCTCCACAGTTAGTCCCTTTGGACGTCCGAGACAAAAAAGAATTAAGACAGAAAAACAGAGAAATGAGGATATCAGACTACATCAGAAAGACTACTGAAACCAAACGTATCCTTCAGCTAGGATCACACCTTCCCCCTTCTCTTAACGACAGACTACTATTCTACTAAATTTTCTCCAGTCATTGGAAGTTTCATTTCACACCTCTCGACATCTATTCTGACTTCACACCTCTTGATTGGCCTCTCTTTCTGTCCCCTTCTCCCGCTTCTCACTCCTCCTTTTCCCTGCTTTTGTTCTCCCGCTACATTACCTTTGCCTGCTGCCTTGTCTCTCTCACACCTGAAGAAGGCTCCATGGCCGAAACGTGTTCTCTTTTTTCTTTTTTTCAGCATGGAATAAACCTATTACTTGTTCCTAATTTACCAAGTGTCCCATCCATCTCACGCTATTTACACTTTTATTACTGAAAAATACATTTTCCTACCTTGTCACTTGCTTACATATTCATTCAAAACCTGGAGATTGTGCAGTATTGCCACACTGTAGCTTGATCTCATGGGATCTCAGCAGCCAAGCATAGCTGTGCTTGGTCAGTACTGGTGTGACACTTGTGTCCCCTTAGTGGTGTAACAGGCACATTGCCCACCGGTCTCAGTGAATTGCAGTAGTCTGGCCAGGGGACCTGTGTTCTGTGTTTTTTATTCTGTTTACAAATCATAACTACTACATATATCTGTTACACTCTGTGTTTAAGATTGCGAGTATATTTATAATGGCACTATAAATGAGCATTCTTGTCTGTGTTTTCTCAAACTGTGGATCACAGGGCACAAGTGGAAACTACACATGGATTTAAAACAGAAAACAGAAGGTCAGAAAGCATCCTCTCATGTGTCATTTGAACAGTTCTTATGTTGCATTTTGAGTATACCTGGTGGGGGAAGGGAGGAATTGATATGACTGTGTATTTGATTCCAGACTATATATTGAAACTTCAGCAACACATCAACAACAAAATAACAGGACATTTCTCACAACACTAGCCAGTCTGAAAAAGGCACAACAACGTTTACACTTTCCGCGGTACTTAAAGAAATGCGGTTTAGGAAAGCAGTTCCTCATGAACTTTTACCACAGCACGATAGAAATTGTCCTCACTAGTGGCATCACAGTGTGGTACAGCAGTACTACCATGCATGACAGAGATGTGCTATGAAGTTTTGTGGCAACGGTACACAGGATTATAGGTTGTGATTGTCCATCAATCAGTGAGATCCACACCATCTGCTGTCATAATAAAGCCCAGTCATTCAGAATCCCAGCCATCCCAGCCACAAACTGTTCTCCCTCCTGCACTCTGGCTAGTGGTACCACACTGTTAAAGCATAGACCACTAGACTAGAACTAAATGAGTCACAATGTAACAACAAATATTGATCTATTCATATTTACATCACTTTTTACTGTAAGAGAACTGCTTCATCCCCAGCATCTGAAACAAATTCATAAAAGCAAGTTTTTCCACTGTGTACATCACCTGTTTCTCAGCTGAGTCCTGATGAGGGGCTATTTTATTGCTGCCTTCAGTTCCTAGCAGCCTCTGCAGAGCTCGTGTCTCCCAGTCCTTGCGAATGTGTTTTTTCAGAGCTTCACACTCTTGGTCTCCTAAGTGCTGTAGAGCTGCTACACTGGTAACACACAGCTCATCTTCAAACACCTTTAACCAGTAGAGTTTATCAAGTTTATCGAGTTTATCAAGACCAGCGTCCTGAAGTTTCACATCCAGATCTCTTTCATTTTCTACTACAGTCAATGTGTCCTCTTCACTCATGGCCTTGTGAATCAAAAAGAGAAAAGAAAGAGATTTGAATACCTGCACAACATTACTGTAATAATTAATACATCAAGGAAACCCATGATACAGTAAGACATCTGTAGCTGAGC